TAAAAGGCAAGCATACTGGTAGACCAAGGAAGACTTCAAAGTGTCAAGACAGAAAACTTAAAGCAATATGTCTTGAAAACAGAAAATGCACAGCAAAACAAATGAGGAACAAATGGGCAGAAACTGGAGTCACCGAAGTATAAGAAACCACCTAAAAGAAATGGGATTTATACAGAAAAGCTGAACAAAAGCCATCATTAACACCTAAACAGAAAAAAAAAAAAAAAAACAAGGTTACAATGGGCTAAGGAAAAGTAATCGTGGACTGTGGCTGTATGAGTCTCTTGCATTGTTTTGTGTCTCTTTGTAGCCGATTTTCATTTCATTGTAGTTGCCTTCTAGTCTTTTTGCATCTTGAGCCTTTGCCCTGTAGGCCCATTTAGTAATCCAACCATGGCTGCTAAGGCCAGTCTCTCAACTTTCTCCTTGCAGAGGAGACAAAAGGCACATTTAACTCGCAAAAACATCAATTCCGCTCACAACCTCTCTTGTTCTTGTTCATGCTCTAAATCAATTTCTAAACACATGGTAGGGCCTTATGAAACTCTAGACAGCTATATCCAGTCCTTGGGCCTGCTTTAGCAAATTAAACAGTTGAAGTGCCTTGTTTCAGATTTTCCAATAGAAGCTCATACTGAAACCACTGCATGCACAAAAGAAGCATATAGGCCATTAATCCTGCACCCACTGAGTATAATTAGGTCACACAAGGAATAATGGCTAAATAGGACAGAAGCAGTCAGTCAGTGTTGAATCACGCAGGTTTGCTTGTTAGAGGACTCAATAACGTGAGACAGAGCAGGCAGAGCTGTCCACCACTTATTTTGAGCTGCCAGGAGATTTCAAGACAACAACATTTATTTTCCTTTGTCTTCTCCTTCCTATTATTAATCACAGCAGCTCATTGTATCACTGGTTACACTGGTATTTAGATCTCAGCCTCATCATTAAGATTGGCTTCATCAGCATATTGTGTACACACTCTGCATCACCCACAGCTTCAGCCCATATTTAGAATAAATGCTGCTGAAAATTAATTAGTTTTAAACAAACTTTCCCTAACAAAACATGAATACATTTTCGGTTTGGAGGAGGAAAAAAAAGGCCTGGAGCAGGTCTGGGAGCAATGAGCAGCTCTTATCTTTACTTTCTGCCGTACTTACCTGCAGTCTTTGGGACCACATCAGCCCGGAGCTGCAAACAAACAGATTTCAGTTAGTGGTTGTGGCTGCAGTTTCATGTTCAGTACTGATTTACAACATTATTTGTTCAGCAAATGGATAGATAAAAAAATTAAAAAATAGTTATTATTGTCCAATGCAACGTCCATCCATCCATCCATTATCTATACACCGCTTAATCCTCATTAGGGTCGCGGGGGGGCTGGAGCCTATCCCAGCCAACTTAGGGCGAAGGCAGGGGACACCCTGGACAGGTCGCCAGTCCATCGCAGGGCCACACTTAGAGACAGACAACCAAGCACACTCACATTCANCAGCAATAATAAAAAATGAAAACATATCGATAGATCACAATAAACCTTTTTATTTCCACTGAATTAATCAAAATGTAATATTATGATCACATACCACAGACACTAAAGTATAACCATAGAGGCTTTCTAGGAAAAGAGAGGACGTAGACAAGTAGTTTTGTTTACACCATCGTCATTTTATTTTGATTTTGTTACCAAATGTGGCCCTTAAAGGACAGATTAGAAGGTACAAAATATTACAGATCAAATGTCAAGACAGTAAACAAACATGTTTTAAAGAGGAGAAAGTGGGTTCCCTGGGTGTTTTTCTAGCGTTACTGTTGATACGCTGAAGCTTAGAGTTTAACTGGGATGATAAAGGAGAGCAGGCCGAAGCGAAGGAGACGCACTATGGTAGTTCACCACAGTCGGTGATGACAACCTTGGCTGAAGGAGTGCCGCTGTGTGTCCCTTGCTTCTCTATCACCTTGACAACATCCACGCCATCCACAACAAAACCAAACACCACGTGCCTCCCGTTGAGCCTGGAGAGCAGAGAGCAGATTAGTATGTGAGAGCCACACCTGAAGCTGTTCAGGGTCGGAGTGGAGCTCACCAGTCAGTTTCCGCTGTGCAGATGAAGAACTGTGATCCATTGGTGTTGGGCCCAGTGTTCCCCATGGACAATGTTCCAATGCCCATGTGCTTCAGCTGGAAGTTCTCATCAGCAAACTTCGTTCCGTAGATGGATCTACCTCCAGTTCCGTCTTGGTTGGTGAAGTCTCCTCCCTGAAAAAAAAGAAATAAATACTTGAGGTTGTCAGGATCATATATTTTTTTTTACATATATCTTTAATTCATGTTTAGATAATTGAGTATTATTCTCTGCACCTCTTATTATATTAATCACACATTATTTTATAATTTGATAATTTGGTGTTACTCTCCTCACCTTTTATTAGTATCTTAATCTCACACCATTATCTTAAGGCATAATCAACACAATTGATTAATTGCAGCAGGAGAAAGCGTAAGTGGAGACAGGATTTGGTGGTTTGTGTATTTCTCTGTCACAAGCAGGTATCCGCAGGAGGGAGAAACTGAGGGTGCAGAGTGACAAGTTTCTGCACCTACGAGATGGTGGAAGAAGGCTCAAGGACATTGAGGGGCCAATCAACTAGCTGCAACACATTCTCATGCAATAGTATAAGTACACTGGATCAGGGCGAGGCAGTCAGTCAGACTTCGTGCCCTGACATGAATTTTGTTGGTGCTAGGGTGAGAAGTTTGATCCAGAGCTCTGTATGCTTATTCAACTATCTGATAAATAAATACATTGGGTGAGACCTAACTATCTTCTCCTATTGCTTCATTAAACGAACACACAGGAGCTATCTCACACATACTTTGATTTCAGGTAGATTGGGATCTAGCTCCAACAAGGTCCAATTGACTCGGCACATGTGGCAATCGTAAATAAATCTGTACAAAGGGAAATAGGACAAATTCCTTGTCTTAACTGTACCTGGCACATGAAGCGAGGGATGACACGATGAAACATGGAGCCCTTGTAGCCAAAACCTTTCTCTCCAGTGCACAAAGCTCGGAAATTTTCTGGAAAATAAAGACATTTCCTTAAAGATACATGCGCCAAATACAATGCTTGTGAATGCTTGGTATGTCTTTGTAGTTTTTTAAGGCCATTTTGAATCTGTCATTCTGTTGCATCTCTTTTTGGTTGTTGTGAAGATATTTCCATGCACTGGAGTATTTTTTCTGTTTCTGGTAGTTATACGTGTCTTGATCATTGTTCTGTGTCATTATGTAGTTGTTTTGGGTCTCTTTAAGGATGTATGTGGCCATTTTTGAAGCTCTGTGATTGTGTTGAGTCTTTGTGGTCACTTTGCATATCCTTGTTGTTGATGAAATTTTACCCATAGTCCTCATGTGAAGTTTGCTGTAGTGGGGTGTTTATCAGTAGATTGTGCTGTGGAGCTTGTTGGTTTTCCCTCTGACTGCTTAATGGAGATGCCAAAGGCAGGGTTAGTTAACTTTGGGTCATTTACATGGGCAGTTTCTTACCCACTGATTTAGATTATCATAATAAGAGCAATTCTCCGAGCCTTTGATGAGAAGGGTGAGGTGTGTCTGTGGTGTGAGAAACCTCAGCACTGGCCTCACTTCCCTCCTCCGAAGGCTCCTCTGCCATTTGTCCTCAGCTTTGCCTCACCTATGTAGTGAGATGCTCAGACAAGAATTACCATTTAAATTCACACATTTCATGTTGTCTTCATTAATAGAAGAGTGGAGTCTATTGTGAAGAAGACATTAAATGTCATTCAATAACTAAGTAAACACACATACAATAAAAAAAAAAACCTTAGAAAACCCATAAATGAGTTGAATTTGATCATATCATCTTGGTTCTTCCAGAAGAGTTTTCTTTGCTCTGTGTTGTGTTGTTGTTAAAAACATTGTAGTTTTACTCTGTGTTTGATTTTTTTTTCCCCTCTGGTTTATGCACAAATCATTTTAATTCTTATATTTTTATTATTCTATTTATTTTTAAATAAAGATCTTTTCTTTATTTTTGGTTCCTTCATCCTTTAGCATCTTAAAAACTTTTCTGTGATTTCTTCATCATTTTTTTTCATGTTGCTTGTTTATTTTTTGAATTTCAACTTTCAATTTTTCTTTTTTTTTCTTCTCAATTTTCATGCATGTACTTTATGGGACTACAATCCCTGGCAAAAATTATGGAATCACCAGTCTTGGAGGATGTTCATTCATTTGTTTAATTTTGACTAAAGTCATTTAAAATAGAAACTTTTTGGCTTTAAGAAACGCGAAAAGAAATCAAGAAAAAAAATTGTGGTAGTCAAAAACAATTGCTTTTTTTAGATCAAGCAGAGGAAAATAATTATGGAATCACCCTGTAAATTTCCATTTCCAAAACTAACACCTGCATCAGATTAAGTGTGCTCATTAGTCTGCAGTTAAATAGGAGT